GACAGTGATTCTGAATGTAGGGCAGTTTGAAAATGCTACAATACGAAAAAATTTTCATTTGGGTGTGAAGAGCGAAAAACGTTCCATGACTCAAAACTAAATTTTACATTATAATATTATACCTTTTCAACACCAAATTTATTTTATTTTTTGGGTGGCATCAAATTTTTTGAGGTGTCGAGGTGGGGCATGGAGCAAAAAAGGTTAAGAACCACTGGTTTAAGATAAAAAGTAATGTAAAAAATTCACAAATTCTTTTAATTGGGTGACAAAAAAAAAATTAGGAATGCTGTTACTATTAATGCAACGACACTTTTTGTTGTTGTTGTTTGTGCAAATTTACTTTTACTGTACTTTATAGTTTACATTCTGCATGCTCAGTCACTATCAATATCAGGCCTATGCATACACAATACAGTCTAACAGTAACTGTCTAACTTTTACGCACCTACATTTTGTTCAAATACTTAAAATGTTGCATTTATTACGTTTTTAGCTTCATAAATTATACTTTTAAGTATGTGTTTGATAACTATATTAAAACACCCTACCGGCGTCTTCGTCAACATCACTGTTGCTCTTTTACCCTGTCTCTGGTAAAAAGAAAAGAAAAAAAAGCTGCATAAATACATTCAGATTCAGAAACCCAAGACCAATACACAAGAATTTATAACTAGTAGTTGCACCTACGACGTTCAATTCAGATCGTACACTGAAAGACTTGAACGATACTGTTATAAATTACACGGAGTGATGGTATATAGAGAAATATGAAAAGAAAAATCATACCTCCCAAATTGTTCAAATCGTATTTCAAAACTGTAATTCTCGACGCTAAGTATTAATAATGTACGCTTAACACTAAGCCAGATGTAGCGCCATCTTTGGAGGTTAAAATGTAATTAAAATAATAATTTTCTCCTATTTGCTTACTTCCAGTATTTTTTATTGTTTAATTAAAATGAATCACTCTTGTTAAAATAAATATTATTAAGTCTCAAAAATATCTTTACTGTTTAGCTAGTCTTTATAGTTTCCAAAGTAATTTATGTTCACCATCGTTTAATTAAAGGCATAACAGAAATAAAAAGTAGAGGTTAAGTAAAAAACAAACTTAGTTGATAATATAATTTTAGTAATTTGTTGTAATTAAAATTGTACTAGTATAAAAACAAATTAAACAACTGTACTCAGTCACTCAAATAAATCTAATATATTTACGGCTATGTGAGGCCATTTGTAATTAGCTATACTAACTGACATACTCGTTCAACACACGGGAAGGACATGGGGATCTGGGAAGGAAGGAGTGGTTGACAAATCCGAACGCTGCTTCCCTATGTCTTTCTCTTTTGGCCGTAGGGATACATGCAAGGTTTGGTGATGCGTGATCTGGCACTAATTTAACTACATATTTGAATCTTAAACAAATATTTAATTGCAGTTACGTTGTGAATATCAAATCACACAAAATAATAACAATAATAGCGAATCAGAAAAACAGAATAAAAAAAAAGGGGGAGAGAAACTAAATTAATAGATTACATCAAAGAACAATACAAAACTCTTCTCAAAATAACGTTAAATAACAAATAATGATAAAGCGAGTATTTGTCATAATCTATCGTAATGTGCAGAGTACATTAAAAGGGTAGGGCTCATTAATGGATAAAGGACACTTTTCAAGCATTGTAAGGCAAACCTTTGTGTGTGGGGAGTGGTGGGAGGTAAAGGAGACAAAAGAGACTGTTGGTTGCCTTTTGTACACATAAGGTAAAAACCATAAGAAGCAAACAGATCCTCATTTATTCCTCTTCAATTAGCCTTTTAAACATTTTTATGACCTAAACTAAACAATGGATTATTGCGTATAACACTTAACACCATATCAGAATTACTTTTTTTTTACTATAAAGACCTAACAGTCCCTATGTACCATTCATTTTAACGATGATTGTTTTAATAACTCGCAGCAAGCAAGGTGTGGAACCACATGTATCTTTTCATAATTGTTGACAATTTTTACGAAGGAGAAAGAAAATGGCATTTTGGGAGCATAAGGGCAGGAAGACAGAGGCTTGAGCCAATTTAACTACTTCCCTGTGCACATCACTAATAATCTATTTATTTTGATAAGCAATACATTTTACGTAATTCTAGTTTAACTCCCTTCACCATTCTCCGTCCCACCAAACATGCTTGCCCTTTCAGCCGTGTGACGGTCAATCCTCCTATTCGTTCGTAAAAGACTAGCCCAAGAGTTGGCGGTGGGTGATGATGGCTAGTTGCCTTCCCTCTAGTCTAACACTGCTAAATTAGGGACGGCTAGTGCAGATAGCTCTCGTGTAGCTTTGCGCGAAATTCAAAAACAAACAGGAACCTCGTGTCAGTTTCTACTCTTAATATTTAATATAGATAAGAAAGTAGGTAAACTAGCATTTAAAGCACCTGAAAAATAGGTGATGAAGAAAAATATATATTTGATAAACAAAACCTTAACTAGAAATATAATACAAAACTCCATTTTACAGCCTCTTACCTTTATAAATAGTTAAATAGATTTACACATACGACGTGTACATGAGCAACATACACATATAGTTTAATAAAACAAGGAGTACATTTGTAAATTACCGTGCACATTTCATAAATCGACGCGTATATTTAATAAATGAACACAGTTTAATAGCACGAAGGTGATGTTACAAATTGCTAAATACATCCAATAAATCAACAAGTATATTTTTCAGCCAACTTGCCAATTTATAAATAGTAATAACATTTCTAATCTGAAAGGTCGATTTATAATTTTCTTGGGAAAAAGAGATTAAAGGATAAATAACTAATATATAGATTACAGAGAGAGAGCTTAAATTGCATAGTCACACTTGGTGCCATATACATGCTGCGTGAGCATTACCTGTGTTGATTTAACTGTATATGTGTATATATAATTATTACTATCAGCGACTGCTCATCGTCGAGCTTTACGAATCTTTGGCAGGTAAATACTAAAGAATACATACACGAATAACGTGACTTGGCGCTAAACAGAACGATAAAAACAAAGTGATAAACAATTTATTTACAACAGTTATGGGGATCAGTAACACTAGTGGGTTATTTTATGACAGTCAAGCAAAATATATTCATTTGCTTAAAATCATTGACTATTAAAATTAGTGTCTGGAATTTTTGTGATCAAATACATCCTCTAATTTTTCTGTCCAATTGTAGATGAATAAAATTATTCAAATTCTAAATTAGCTTTGTGTTACGTTGTGTGTTTCAATTGATTAAATAGTAACGTCTAAGAAGTACAACGTTCAGTTTGTGTCCTGATGTTTCAGTTCATTTAATACTTGTATACTCTTACGTATTACTAAATACGCTTTACTACTACTTCTTGAGGCTGAAACTTTATGTATTGAAAATAAAATTTTTGAGTATGTATTGAGACAACTGTTTAATTAACCTTTGTTATGCTGTATAACCGGTATTACAACGAACATCTATTTTCACTTAAGTTTCATTTATTTTAAAGATAATCTTTATGTTTAATTTGCTTGCAGTCGATATCAAGTTCCACAATTTGAAGAGCTTCTTCAATCTAAGGCTAAACACATTCATTTACATTTTACTCATTACGCTTGTTGAATAGTGATTACTGTATAACAATTGCAAAATATATAACAGACCGATACCAGAATGGAATGAATTATCAGAAAAAGGACTTGTTTGTTTGGAATTAAGCACAAAGCTACCGAATGGGCTATCTGTGCTCTGCCCACCACGGGTATCGAAACCCGGTTTCTAGCGTTGTAATGTTTAAAAAAATCAACAACAAATAAAACAGCATATCTTTCACTGTTATGTATGTTATTAGCTACTCATACCACAGTATACAAAGTATGTATAACAATTTATTGTGAGTTATGTTCTTAGACTAGTATAATTTATAAACGTATAAAGAATAATTAAGACAGCTGTACATTCTGTAAATTCGGAAAAATTATAGTTTTACCCCTGGACCACCTCATGAAAACATATAAGAGTATTCCACACTTTCAGATAGATGGTTATTCTATTCCCATCTGATAAGATTGACTATTTAGTTTGATGTGTGAATTTTATATTTGTATATTTTTTGAATTAAAGTAACTTCTATCTTTATCTTTTCTTCGGCGATTGAATATGTCTCCAACTATTTTGTTTGAGTATATGATGACTGTAGATCATCTTCTGAATTTGTCTCTAAGTAGTTATAAGTATAATTTAACTGCAATACATATACCGTGACTTTACGTAAGCATCAAAAGAAGACAAGAAGACGAATTATGCAGTTCTTTCGAATTTTAAACTGAAACTTTTTGTTCATATCATGATACCCATAATTTGCTTTCATTAACTTTATAAAGTATGAAATTTCATAAACTTTCAGAATCAATCACAAATCTGGTACAAAGTTCGGTGTTTTTGCTCGTAGATATCCCATAATAGACTGGTTACGATGTCAGCGTTCTACTCCTATTGGCTGATGTGTACTAGTCGGGTGCCATCTTGCAACGGTCATTGCTCTAAGTTACGACCCAGTTGCTATATACAAATATAACAGAGTAAATATACATCAAGATCATGTTCAGACTGAAATAAACTTTTACAACTTAGGCTAGACCTGTATTGTGGCCATAGCACATTACAGTTGGCATGGTATACATATTTTCTAATTGGAAAATATTTAAAATAATATAACAGTGTTAATTACCTTTTACTCTTACTGTACCCTAGCATGTAAAATGTAGGCCTGCCTATACAATACACCAAAAATATAAAGAAAATGTTTGCTAAAAAAATATTATAGTTTTTTATCTTTATACGTTGCCACGAGTATTATAATATCACTGCAAATTAGTAGAATAGATTTAAAATAACGCTTTTTTCTGCTTTCCTATATTTATTCGGCTTGATGTTGTCGACATATCTCTGCATTTTATTTTGGTTTACATTCGGACGATTTAGGTTTATGAATATGATAAAAATTTGGTATGTGTTCAAGCCCATAAAATTCGTGAGGAAATTACGCTGAGAAATAATATATGTAGACCTATGCTAGGCAACTATTGGTATGAGAATTATGACTGGTCAGTGTGTTGACGGAATTGTTGTACCGCTGTTTCCAGTTTGGTATTTAAAGTTAAACATTATAGGAAAACTTGTATTTTACAATATAGTACAGTATAGCCTAGTGTAGTAATTACAGATTCCCATTGCCTGATTGCAATCTTGGACAGAATCTTTTATATCATCCTATATGATACTGTATAATCATACCAAGATCGTGTACAAGATATTGCTCAGGGTTCAGTAAATATTCCAGGCTGCAAAAAATTCAATGCAACCTACAAGATATATATTCTCCTGGTTTTACACAGTATTCAATCAATCATGTATGCTTCTGTGAAAGATACATTTTGAATATCAATATATATAAAAGCCAAGTATCAGGCATTCAGTCACGCTCGATTTCTCCGAATTTCGTGAGTTACACGAGTCCAGTTCTACTTTTTCTTCTACATTACTTTTTTTATTGTCCGTTCCCATTTTAGTTGAATTTAATCGCTAACATAGACGTAAATAGCTCCTACATTTCGACACTTTTTCTCATGTTTTCTCCTGTCAAGGAGGGAGTTTCCAGGACCAGATCAGGCATGTCGTTATGTGTGTGGCACACATCATCCACAGCATTATGACGTCAAGCTAGGTAGGATCCGAATAGGAAAGCCGGATAGACTCCTGTGATCGAAGACACGGAAGTTCATTTGCACCCTATCAATGTCTGTGAAAAAGTAAATCAAAAGTTAGCGCACACACACA